ATCTCATTTTATGCGTGCCGTGAAGGTTCATCTGTACATTTTCTAAGTCAGTAAGTTCACACTGCCTTGAAAAGGTACTTTTAGTAGCAGGCCTAATATTCCAGCCCTACATAGAACAAGCGACCTGAAGAGCGCATTCATGGTTCTTGGCATCCCTAATATTGAGGTTTCTCATACCATCCCTGGTCATTTTTTCTAGCAGATGCGATTGGATACAATGTAATTTCCTTGAAGGTGAAATCCTCCATCCAATGAGCACATCCCAGGTCTCTGACGTTAGTTTTCTCGCTCTAATTTGTGGCTGGAATTTATTTTATACTCTGATATGTTTTAAATTCCTCATGTTACCATAATCGGAGTAACTGAAATTTCTCATCGTTGAACTTCACATTGTTTTCTAAGCCCATCTGAAAAGATTTGGATTGATGTCTGCCTTGAGCCTGCAGTGTCAGCAATGGAAGACACTGTCATGCCAGATTTGGGTGTCATCTGCAAAGGAAGACATGGCGCTGTGGTCTGACATCCTTGTCTAATGTCCACCTGTCCATCTACCAACTTTCCCCCTGTTATTCCTTTAGCACGAATTTGTGCGCTTTACCCATGGTCACACTTGTCGAAGGCTTTTGCAAAGTCTGTGTTTATTACATCTGTTAACATTTACCTTTTGGTCTTCTAGTGCATCTAGGAGCTCGCGTAGTGATGCAGAAGTATGGACAGAAGGAGGAGCGACCTGCCTAAACCCATGTGCCCTGGGTTGTTGTAATTGGATGGGTATCTAGCTGTGCCGATCTTGCATCGTAGGACCAATTCAAAGATTTTATGATATAAGGATGTTAGTGCTGTCGGTCTGTAGTTCTTTTCTATTGATTTACTGCCCCCTTTGTGGAGTGGGGCTATGTCTGTTGTTTTTATTAACTGAGGGACAACCCCCGTGTCCATGCTCCCTCTCCATAGGATGTTAAAAGCACGTGATAGGGGCTTCTTGCAGTTCTTGATGACACGGAGTTCATGAGTCTGGCCCTGGGCATAGTGCAGGGCATGTCATTTATCGTATTCGCATTTAATTCCGACAACAACCTGAATTTCAGCACCTATATCCAACACATAACCAAAAAAGTATCCAAAACGGTTGGGATCCTCTCTAAGATACGATACTACGTGCCGCAAACTGCCCTTATCACACTATAGATAAACCATTCACTTAATATCCATACCTTACCTATGCTATTGTGCTTGGGGATCAACAGCAGCAACACACCTAAAGCCACAACCACAGGGCCAAACATGGGTTTTTAGTACAGGTCGCTCCTTGTCTGTCTATCACGCTTTTGGATCACTACGACAAGGTCCTAGAATGCACTAGAAGATAAAAAGAATGCAGATGTCATATATACAGACTTTGCAAAAGCCTTCGACAAGTGTGACCAAGGCGAAATAGCGCACAAAATGCGTGCTAAAGGAATAACAGGAAAAGTCGGTCGATGGATCTATAATTTCGTCACTAACAGAACACAGAGAGTAGTCGTCAACAGAGTAAAGTCCGAGGCAGCTACGGTGAAAAGCTCTGTTCCACAAGGCACAGTACTCGCTCCCATCTTGTTCCTCATCCTCATATCCGACATAGACAAGGATGTCAGCCACAGCACCGTGTCTTCCTTTGCAGATGACACCCGAATCTGCATGACAGTGTCTTCCATTGCAGACACTGCAAAGCTCCAGGCGGACATCAACCAAATCTTTCAGTGGCTGCAGAAAACAATATGAAGTTCAACGATGAGAAACTTCAATTACTCAGATATGGTAAACATGAGGAAATTAAATCTTCATCAGAGTACAAAACAAATTCTGGCCACAAAATAGAGCAAAACACCAACGTCAAAGACCTGGGAGTGATCATGTCAGAGGATCTCACCTTCAAGGACCATAACATTGTATCAATCGCATCTGCTAGAAAAATGACAGGATGGATAATGAGAACCTTCAAAACTAGGGAGGCCAAGCCCATGATGACACTCTTCAGGTCACTTGTTCTATCTAGGCTGGAATATTGCTGCACACTAACAGCACCTTTCAAGCAGGTGAAATTGCCGACCTAGAAAATGTACAGAGAACTTTCACGGCACGCATAACGGAGATAAAACACCTCAATTATTGGGAGCGCTTGAGGTTCCTAAACCTGTATTCCCTGGAACGCAGGAGGGAGAGATACATGATTATATACACCTGGAAAATCCTAGAGGGACTAGTACCGATCTTGCACACGAAAATCACTCACTACGAATGCAAAAGACTTGGCAGACGATGCACCATCCCCCCAATGAAAAGCAGGGGTGTCACTAGCACGTTAAGAGACCATACAATAAATGTCAGGGGCCCGAGACTGTTCAACTGCCTCCCAGCACACATAAGGGGGATTACCAAAAGACCCCTGGCAGTCTTCAAGCTGGCACTGGACAAGCACCTAAAGTCAGTTCCTGATCAGCCGGGCTGTGGCTCGTACGTTGGTTTACGTGCAGCCAGCAGCAACAGCCTGGTTGATCAGGCTCTGATCCACCAGGAGGCCTGGTCACAGACCGGGCCGAGGGGCGTTGACCCCCGGAACTCTCTCCAGGTAAACTCCAGGTAATAATAACCCAACAAAAAGCTGCAGTAAGAATAATCACTAAATCCCATCCCTGCAACACACGGCCCACTCTTCATAGATCTAAACTTACTCCCTGTTCAGTACATCCACACTTACTACTGTGCAATCTACATCTCTGGAAAATTTTCTAGGGTGCTTACCTGTATGTACCTCAACATTATATACATACCAGTAATCTCATTGGGAGACAATCATATTGTTTACCGTAGTCACCCCGTGTAGACATGTGAGAAAACTTAACCACCCCTGGTCGCACCAAGTGGTCCCCTCGACCTCACAATCTTATCCATATCTATCCGAGACCAGTATGGATTGGATAGCACCCACAAGTACGGTGCTACTAATTAATTGTGGACTGTATAGATTATATTAGTTTAGCTGAATGAAGGGGAGGGGGGTAGGATACACCTGGATACATCCATCAAGGAAAACATTTGTACATAATCCCACCACTTACCAGATGTTCTCTGGTGGTCACTTGATGTAGCTGGATCACTCATAACCTATCTAATTACAACATAACACAACTGGCCAGCATAAGTTTGTTATAACTAGAAGGGTTACTTAACTGTGGGTGATTGATACTCCTTATTTCTTCCATTCACCATCTCAGTTTCGATGTCCTGCTACACCGACACGGTTCTCATTCCGGCAGGACGAGGTATCCGTCGGTTTGTCCCGGTTAGAAGTCGTGATTCCATAAATCTCCATTATCCCCGGTACGAGAGTCACACGTTCACTCGGAGCAGGGCGCTCTATTTCACATCCCGCATTCTCTTAACTCAATGTTATTATCACTGATTACATTACCATTCACAAGACGATTTAACGTCTCATAACTATTATACAAATTAGAGGTCACTCCATTAAGATCTGAGGCCGATGAGCGAGGATTAACACACGGGTATGTCCCCTGGACACACACCCTGGCCGTGCACCTGCCACCCGGTCGAACATTATTAACTAATTTTACCCCCCTTTACAGTGGTCCCGTAAATCACGTTCCCTCACTCTTCACTAGGGACAGTCACGACACTTCCTATTATGAATTGAGGCCTATATCGATCCTTAGGCCCCCGCGAACGCCAGTTTCCTCCTTCCCGGTTTCCTCAGCCTCCTCACCACATTCAAAACAATCCGCCTCTCCCCCCCGCACATCCGCGCATGCGCAAAGGGAACTCTTGGTTCTACTCTATTTTCAAATACATTTTTGACTCATATCGGCACATTAAACACCTATTAGGCGCTATAGTTTCGGAAAATTAAAAATTTTCCACAACATCTACAGGACCTTAAACTCCAATATCAACCTTGACCTAAAACGCTTTCTTGATAGTTGTGACAGAACCCACAGGCATACCACCAGACACAAACATCTCTACGACATTCCCCGTGTCCGACTAAACCTTTACAAAAATTCAATGTATGTCAAAGGCCCTAAAATCTGGAACACCCTACCTGAGAACTCTAGAACTGCAGACACATTCATCACCTTCAAAACTACCATTAGAAAACATCTTATCTCCCTGATACACCCCATCAACTAACTACACGAATACCACCTGGTGGTTCACACTTACACTCACTCACCCATTTGACCATAAACAGAAATATTAATCTCAATCTTAAAATAATGAATCCTATGATACTCCAATACTGAAACTATGTACTGTGCCAAAACAAATGCATTCACATTGCTAAACTCACAAACTAGTATTTAGTCACTTAGCCATAATACCAACTTACCTCATAATTTGTAATATTTTAAAATAAAGAATTAAACTAAGTCTGCCCGAAATGCCTAGCCATACTAGGCGTTCTAGTGGTACACTCTGTAATCATTATTTAACTACATGTAAACCACACAACAACCAAATTCTGTAAATTCAACATTGTAATCTTTATAGAGAATAAACTTTGAATTGAATTGAATTGAATTGAATTGAATTTGGCGTCAGGATAACATCAGATAGGCTTGTGTTTACCAAATTCTTTGGCTCTCTCATAAAAAATTAATTTAGATCTTCTACTCTCAGTCTGGTTAGCAGCTTGGTAAAAACTGAGTCATATTGGGACTTGAGTAGCTTACTCATTTCCTTGCTGTCATCTGTGTAGGCCCCATCTTGTTTAAGTAGGGGCCCAATACTGGATGTTGTTCTCGACTTTGATTTGGCTTAAGAAATGTTGAGGCACACGGGCTTACACAATTTGTATTGCTCACAGTCTTACAATAAACACAGCATTATTTGTTTCTCCTTACACATCGTGAAAGATGTGGGTATGTACACTGTTTGACACTGAATATAAAGTTTCCTACCCTTCACCTACCTAATATATTTAACTAACGTTCTGACAGGTTCGTCTTGGTGTGAGTTTGACGACCCTGCTGGTGTTGTACACTTTCTTCAACCAGACATCGTCATCGCTTCCACAAACTGCCTATGTCAAGATGATTGACGTCTGGTTCTTCTTCTGCACGCTTCTTCTCTTCGTTATCATCATGGTACATGTCATAGTGGAGGGGTTAGAGACTGAGGCCGTCGTTCGTATTGGTCCACTGCGTCGAAAACAAGGCATCAGAATCTCTGCTGAGATTCTTCTGCGTGTGGTACGTCAGGTGCTTGTTCCTTTTGTGGTGTTTGTCTTTAACTGCATCTACTGGGCCAAGCTCCTCACCTGAACCATCACGTATAATAAGCAACTAGAACACAAAGAGAAGCAAAATGTCAGTTTCTGCAAACAGTACCAATATCATACTACTTGATAACTCACATTTATTGGGTAAATCTTTGCTAAAATAAAGGTTAGTACTGTAAATCAATGAAATGTGGTCTCGCGTAACTGCAGCTCCAAATTATGTAACGTAGTTTGAATATTTTCTTATAATTATAACGTTATGTTATTCAATAATGGGTGTTTAAATGCAGGTGGTTATTCTGCATATTATATCACCTGCTCACTGTGATCTTATTGCATATGTATATATAATATATAATATATTATATGCACAACAACCACTATAAAAGCATAGTGAAATTCTAAGCACTTTCATGATTTCTCACATTACCAAGGAAGTGTAAAAATATATAATCAACAGGAAGACATGTAATGAAGACACTACACCTCGCGGTCACCTGACCTTTTCATGATGATGTAGGTAGGTACTCAAGGATCTGTCAAACACAGCTTATATTCTACCCATGCTACAAGATTTTAACTAGTCTAATGTACAGTAGGGCCTCACTAACATAGGTTAAGTTCCAGGCTACCGTCTTAAAGCAGAAATCGCTGTTAAGCGGAATGCAATTTTTTTTTTCCACTTATAAATTCCAGATAACAAGTTTACACTAAAATATATTAAGCTAATAATAGAACTAGGTATTAACAACAATAAAAAGTAAAATACATACACAGTACATTCATTTCTTACCTTAAAATATTTGTAGTCTTAATGTAAGGTCAGAGGTGAGTAGTTGTGGGAATTTGATGAGTTCATGAATCCCAGAGGACCTTTGTAACAAGCAGTAGAGGTTTTTAAAATCCACGCAGATAAAGCTTGTAGTGGAAGTCATGAGTCAGCACATAATTACTGATAGGTTTACACTAATTTGATAGATTACATGTTTAGGTAGAATTAGTATTAGGAACTGATAATTGAATTAAAAAAAATGCATGTTCACACTAGTAGAAACGAGTAGGAATATTAGATAAGCAGTGACGCCTAGCGGTGTTCCAGTGAATTAGTCAGAAAGAAGGAACATAGGGAAGTAACGTAGGGAAGTACAGACGGCATGGGTCCTTGAACAAGGACCCATGCCGTCTGTACTTCCCTACGAGTTTCTATCTCTTGAGTCCCTCATGGTTCCCTTTCCTCTTGAAAAAGAAAATGACCTCATAAATGACTGGTCCAAAACATCCAGGCATGAAAACCTTCCATCTCATATTAGAAAATTTTTAGAGAGTACTTCTGAAGAAATGTTGAAACTGATTAATTTTATGAGCCAAAATATTGATGAGAGTGATTGCCTCTTTACCGAGTATGAATTAGATAATGCATTAACTAAAGGTCGATCAACTGCTCCTGGAGAGGATGGTATAACCTATGATATTCTCAGAACTCTAAGGCACGTGCCTGATAACCCTTTGTTGGCACTGTATAATCTCAGTTACACTGAGGGCGTTCCTCCTACTTCCTGGACCAATAGTTTCATTGTGCCTATCCCTAAGCCCCAACAGCCTGATACATTTAGGCCGATCTCCTTAACTAGTTGTCTTTGTAAAACTTTTCAAAGAATGATACTTAACAGACTGTACTACAGAATCAGACACCAACTTTCCCCCTACCTCTATGGGTTCATGAAAGGTAAAAGTGTGCAGAACTGTATTTCCACCTTTCTCACTGCAGACACCTCTACTAGTTTTACCACTTTTCTTGATCTAAAATCTGCATTTGATATTGCAAACAGAACCGTTATACTACATGAACTAGCCAAAATGAATATTGGTGGTAGCTTACTCTGCTGGATAATAGGATACCTGTCAAATAGAGTATCCTCTGTCCTTTACCAAGGCTTCAGAAGTGATTCTAAAGAAATGTCTTTAGGAGGGAGGAGTTCTTAGCCCCAGGCTATTTAATATTCTGATTAATGCTCTCCTAAATGTTCTACCTGCCTCACCTAAACATATAGCTATAAGCTATGCTGATGATATCATGATCCATACAACAGGGCATAAGAAGATGAATACCATTCTTAATGAAGTTCAAGCAATTTGTAATCGACTAGGCCTCATAATATTCCGTTTGTAATACTATTTAATAATAATATCTTTATTTACTACAAGTTCATGTACATGGTATACAGACCTAGCTGACAAATTAGGTCAGTGTCCCAGGATGCGACCTACACCAGTCGACTAACACCCAGGTACCCATTTACTGATGGGTGAACATAGACAACAGGTGTAAAGAAACACGCCAAATGTTTCTGTCCCGTTGCCTGGTAGCTAAAGCTCTCGCTTCACACGATGAGGGTCCGTGTTCGATTCCCGGTGAGGGTAGAAACAATGGGCGTGTTTCCTTACACCGGTTGTCTATGTTCTCTATCAGTAAAATGGGTACCTGGATGTTAGTGGACTGGTGTGGGTCGCATCCTGGGACAAAACTGGCCTAATTTACCCGAAATACTCAGCATAACAAGCGGCTTTCCATATAGCAGTATGTCACTGATGTCAGCTATGGTCTGTATACCTTGTACATGTACTAGGAGAATTAAAGATATCATTTTCATTTATCATCATTATCATATCAACCCGGACCCTCGCCGTGCGATGCCAGAGCTTGGGCCACCAGAGTCAAGTCACGTGACTACTAACACTGGATGGGAAATCAGGGACAGTTAACTTACGGTTAAAAAGCAGGACCATATCCAATGATCAGGTAATATGTGAATGACATTTACTTCAGAATTTAGTTTTACTCTTGAAAGTGCTGTTCAAGCCACTTGTGAGACTGAGACGTTAGGAGTCTTGGGGGACCTGGATTATACCTGGAGAGAGTTTCGGGGGTCAAGGCCCCTGCTGCCCGGTCTGTAACCAGGCCTCATGTTGGATCAGGGTCTGATCAACCAGGTTGTTACTGTTGGCCGCATGCAACCCAACGTACGAACAACAGCCCGGTGGGTCAGGTACTGACTTTAGGTGCCTGTCCAGCGCCTTCTTGAAGACAGTCAGGGGTCCATTGGTAATCCCCCTTATGTATGTTGGGAGGCAGTTGAAGAGTGCTGGGCCCCTGGCACTTATTGTTTTGTCTCTTTTCATGCTAGTAGCTCCCCTGCTTATCAATGGGGGATGTTGCATCGTCTGCCAAGTCTTTTGCTTCCATAGGCAGTGATTTTCGTGTGCAAGTTTGGTACCAATCCTTCTAGGATTTTCCAACTGTATATAATCATGTATCTCTCCCGCCTACGTTCTAGGGAGTACAGGTTGAAGAACTTGAAGTGTTCCCAGTAATTGAGGCGTTTTATCACAGTCATGCGCGCCGTGTAGGTTCTCTGTACATTTTCTAGGTCAGCAAGTTCACTTTCCTTGAAAGGTGCTGATAGTGTGCAGCAATATTCCAGCCTACATAGAACAAGTGACCTGAATAGTACAATCATGGGCTTGGCACCCCTTTCTGAAGATTCTCATTATTCATCCTGTCATTTATCCAGGACGGTGTCAACAGTCCTTGCTCTAGAAAGCTACTCACAAGGAGGCAGACATTACACATTTTCATCATAGTATTTATTTGTAGGAAGATAACCTGGAGTTTACCTGGAGAGAGTTTCGGGGGTCAACGCCCCCGCGGCCCGGTCTGTGACCAGGCCTCCTGGTGGATCAGCGCCTGATCAACCAGGCTGTTGCTGCTGGCTGCACGCAAACCAACGTACGAGCCACAGCCCGGCTGATCAGGAATTGACTTTAGGTGCTTGTCCAGTGCCAGCTTGAAGACTGCCAGGGGTCTGTTGGTAATCCCCCTTATGTGTGCTGGGAGGCAGTTGAACAGTCTCGGGCCCCTGACACTTATTGTATGGTCTCTTAACGTGCTAGTGACATCCCTGCTTTTCATTGGGGGGATGGTGCATCGTCTGCCAAGTCTTTTGCTTTCGTAGTGAGTGATTTTCGTGTGCAATTCGGTACTAGTCCCTCTAGGATTTTCCAGGTGTATATAATCATGTATCTCTCCCTCCTGCGTTCCAGGGAATACAGGTTAGAAACCTCAAGCGCTCCCAGTAATTGAGGTGTTTTATCTCCGTTATGCGCGCCGTGAAAGTTCTCTGTACATTTTCTAGGTCGGCAATTTCACCTGCCTTGAAAGGTGCTGTTAGAGTGCAGCAATATTCCAGCCTAGATAGAACAAGTGACCTGAAGAGTGTCATCATGGGCTTGGGCCTCCCTAGTTTTGAAGGTTCTCATTATCCATCCTGTCATTTTTTCTAGCAGATGCGATTGATACAATGTTATGGTCCTGAAGGTGAGATCCTCCGACATAATCACTCCCATGGTCTTTGACGTTGGTGTTTCGCTCTATTTGTGGCCAGAATTTGTTTTGTACTCGATGAAGATTTAAATTTCCTCATGTTTACCATATCTGAGTAATTGAAATTTCTCATCGTTGAACTTCATATTGTTTTCTGCAGCCCACTGAAAGATTGGTTGATGTCCGCCTGGAGCCTTGCAGTGTCTGCAATGGAAGACACTGTCATGCAGATTCGGGTGTCATCTGCAAAGGAAGACACGGTGCTGTGGCTGACATCCTTGTCTATGTCGGATATGAGATGAGGAACAAGATGGGAGCTAGTACTGTGCCTTGTGGAACAGAGCTTTTCACCGTAGCTGCCTCGGACTTTACTCTGTTGACGACTACTCTCTGTGTTCTGTTAGTGAGAAATTATAGATCCATCGACCGACTTTCCTGTTATTCCTTTAGTGCGCATTTTGTGCGCTATACGCCATGGTCACACTTGTCGAAGGCTTTTGCAAAGTCTGTATATATTACATCTGCATTCTTTTGTCTTCTAGTGCATTTAGGACCTTGTCGTAGTGATCCAGTAGTTGAGACAGACAGGAGCGACCTGTTCTAAACCCATGTTGCCCTGGGTTTGTGTAACTGATGGGTTTCTAGATGGGTGGTGATCTTGC